AGAATCCCTCCACCCTTGACATACCCTCTCTCTCCCTCCATGCTCAGTGGCACCTCCTCTCCTCTCCCCTCTCTTCCCTTCCCACCCCACCTGTGCTTGTGCTGCCCCAGACTGACTTAGGTACAGGAAGAGCTCCAGAGCTGCTCCTGCCCTGTTCCAGATGGAATGCATGGGGAACTGGGCTCAGCCAGGGACAATGGCAGCAGCAGTGGCGATGCTCTCCATCCCTTTATCTAGTCTCCTTGGGTATTCCTCACCAGTAGGAGAGCACATGGAGAAAGAAGAAACATCTGGAGCAGGCCATGAGCATCCAGGACAGCACCAGTGTCAGGTGGGTCTCCCAGCACCCAGAGGGATAAATAGAGAAGGTGAGGTAGGGAATGGGAGGAAAGGGGAGGCTCCACTGAACACAACAGAAAGTGAAGGGGTACTGACAGGGGGTCAGGGAGAATTTTTACCTGATTCAGGGATTTAAAGTCCCCAGCTACTGCTCCCATGGTGTGGTCCACCCATCTCAGTGGGGGACAGAAAGATTGTAAGTAAGGGAATGCAGCCACCCCGGCAACAACAGTTACTGTTCCCAGCTCTCCCTCCCCTCCTTTTAAAATCCTGGATCCACTTCTGACAGTAGTTTACTGGTCTCTGGATCATACAGACTAACCCAAAATTTGAAGAACTATTCTAAGCATAAGCATGGGAATTTCATGTATTCTTTATCAGGTCTGAAATAAGTGAATTTTAACGTCCCTACTCAAATGATTATATTAGCATGATAAGCTACTGTTTCCACAGGACTAAAGGGTAGAACCTGCAGATCTCTGCCAGGTGTGGATAACAATGCATTGAATATCTACTCAGAAGGGAGCTCCTCAGGATGCTTGAGATTTTATCTTCTGTTCCCATCTGTTATTGATGCCCATATTCAAGTGGGTGGCAGGATGCAGCACAGCGTGATGACTCAATATAACCATCACTTTAGTTCTCATGGCAGAATCTGCATTAATTTTTAGTTCCAGGGGACTAACAATTAGCAAATCATGTTGGCAGTACATTCTTAGCACAGTCAACACAGAAGTAATTTAAAAGAGAATAAATGTGGAAACCTACAAGGGCAGTCTTACATGGTAGTCTGTCACATACAACCATACTTGAGACCAACATTTAAAAGGGTTTCAGCCCAACATAACTTTGTGACTTGGAACATGTTAAATTGTGGGTGCTTGTCTACCTCATTTGCACTAAAATTAATAATTGTGTTAACTAAAACATAATAACACTTGCGGTGTAAACTAAAAGCAAGATTTTCAAAAGTGCTCCAATTATTTAAGTAAAATAGGCACTTATGAGCCTTATCCTCATTGCAAAACTAGGTTCCTACATGACCAGGTACGAATACGTACAACTGGAGTTGTGTCAAAAGGGGTATGCTCCAAAAGCCAAAATGAGAGCTGCTGACTAGGAGTCCACAGCAGTTCTGATGTTCTAATGTTTCCTTATGGACAAGATGGGAGTGATACAATGTAGCAAAACTGCTCCAACTTTAACCCTGGATGAAACAGTATTAAAATTGGAGATGTTTTGCTAAATTTTATCTGTCAGGATAAAATTGTTCTGCTCTCTGGTACCATGTAAATCAGTACAGTCTGTTCCATGGCCGGGTTGTTGGTGACAAAACTAGCACCCCCAGCCTGGGCTAGTCTGGGTGAGGAGGGTGTGTGGACACCCAGCAGAACTGAAAACAAGACATGTCGAAGGGCAGATGATCCCTCAGAGGCCTAATTTACTTGGACATGTTTGAAAATTTTACCCAAGGTTTAAGGTCACTGTACTTTAGGGGCATTATAGTGAAAAGAGCTTCTATTGTAATTATACTATTTTTTGAATGGTGTGGAAAGGAAAAGAGAAAGAGAGGGAGGAGGAGTTTAAATGGACAAACCACCTTTTAACCTCAGTGGAAACTGAATCCGGAAAGAACTATCCTGAATTGAATGGAAGTTTAATGCTCAACATCTTTTCTGAGTTGGACCCTGTGTCATTTTCAGGACCAAACAAATGTTAAGAAGTATGAAGAGACACCTTCTTAATGCCAATTGAAAATGATTTTGGCTATCCTACTGCACCCGGTTTTGCCTTTAAACAACACAAAACTCTTCAGTTCATCTTAAGGGCATGGTCTACAAACCTATAAGCATATGGGCATACAGCTTCACTAGGGTTACTCACCTACATGTAGCTAGTCACATGTGTATTAATAGGATGGAGTCCATAATTTATACTGTGTATATTAGCTGACAGAACTAACACATTGAGACATTTTAAAGTTACAGATTTATCACTTCCCAAATTTCACAAGATGGATGGGATTTCAGCAAGCAAACAAACATTTTTCATTTTTTAAAACATCTTTGTTCACTCATACCACAATGCCCTGTGGACATTTGGTGCTCAGAAGGCCTGCAGAATATGGATGCCCTTATTTTCATTCATATCTAGCAAGCAAGGGCTTCCCTGGTTTTCTATTACTCCAGTGTCTTTTTCACACAATGATATACTTTCCTCAGAGTGGAAGTCATAGTTTTCTCTTTTTTCTCTAACATTCCATGGCAAGTGTGGCTGAGCAGGTAGCAAGCATTACTCAGGAATTAGTGGCAAATGCGAATTCGGCAAAGAACATTTAATAAACAAAAATGAAGGGCTTATGCTCTCAGAATTTTTTTTCTTCATTGATGGAAACAAATCCATCAGAATTCTAAACCGCACAACTATTTTTAGGCCTGTGTAATGTATGTGCATGAGGAAGTGTAAAAGAAAGACTATGTGAATCCATAAAAACACATCACATGCATGTAAGCACTACATATGTGATATAGTGTAGAGTCAACTAAACACACATTTTTTTTAGCTCACCTTTGAAGGTCTTTCTTGCACGTTGCCTTCTAATCCATCTTCCTTGAATCTACTCTAAAATGTCAAACTTTTAAAGGACTTTCATATAGCCAATCTAATTTTTTTCTTTAAAAACAAATCTGTTTTCTTTCCACCCAAATTGGTGCTTTTCCTCCCAAATACCCCATACCAAAGGTTCCAAAACTTTTCCCAATCATTACCTACCTCTTTTACAAATAGGTATTTTTATGTAGCCTCTTACAGCTGTAATAATTCTCCTCTAGCATTTGCAGTTTAGAGGAGTCTCCTGAGGCCAGTACATGGGCTGATCCAGAGCATGGAACCATGTCATCTGGCCCACAGAGCTGTAAATTTGGTGACAGCAGTATTAATTGCCATGACTTCAGAAAAAGGTGATAATTAATGTTGCCACCACTCACCCCTGCTGCTGCACTTCTGGCTTTGCAGGCCAGATCCTGAGCAGAGAGCCATATCATCTCACCCATGATCATCTCACCCATGAGTCAGAAATGTGACAGTGGGATGAGTAGTGGATGCCACAGCTCTGGGAGCTGGGGCAATTAATGCTGCTACTACTAATCCAGCTGCCAAATTTCTGAAGCCCTGCAAATCACACAACTCCGTGGGCCAGATCCAGCTCATGGGACATATGTTTGACACTCCTACTGTGGGACAATTGCAGGCATGAGGAAAGTATATCAAGGAGCATCTTAGCTGCAATTAAGTCTCTACATCCTGTTAATTGGGGACATACAGGGTAACTGCAAACTCAAGGGAATTAGGGACCCTGAACTGCTCACAGCCCCTGTTGTAACTGCCACACCCCAGTTTTGCTCTTGGTCCAAACCGGAGAACACTTTGTGCTGAACCACTGCCAGTTTTAATATCAGGGTTAGAAATAGGAACTTTATACTCCTGGTAAGGGGAGACTTACTGCTCTTTACTGGGATATGTGGCATTTTCTTTTAGCTCTGGAACATGCCAAGCTGTTGCAGTTAGAGACATAGCAGTTTTATGCAGAAAAAGCTATTTGGGGTCATTTTAGCTGCTTTAAAAATGTAGTAGCTATAATTTTCCTCCTTTGGTCATAGTACAGAGTAGTTTGACTTGTTCTACTCCTCAGTGGGTGTGTCTACACATGCAATTAACATGCAGCAATAAACTCTGGCATATACCACGCTGGAGTTTATTGCTCCCAGGCATGCCATTTGATTATGGTGTGGGACCACAGCATGTTGACCTGGCTCGGAATAGCTCTGGCTAGCAAGGAGTCAGGGGAGGAGAAAGGGGTGGGGGGTGGGTCAGTCTACAAGCCTGGGGTTGTTCCAACCTGGCTCAACATGCTTCAGAGGGGCTGACTGGGGCATGAGGGTGCTTCAGTGTGGAGCTAGCTGGCAACCAGATCCTGCACTAAAGCACTCTCATGCCCCAGCCAGGTAAGTCAGTGTCTCCACATGTGCTGCTGCACATGGAAAAACACTGAAGCAGGGTAGTACTTGTATCTACATGTGTAGACACCAAGATGTTTACTGTTGAGCTAATTTGGCAGTTCTACAGTAAACATTTTGTGTAGATGCGCCTAGCAGTTTGTATACCTCGTTCCAATTTACGCAGTCATAGGGACAGCACCTTCCTTCTTGTCTGTACAAGACTTAGCCTACTGTGGCCTGGATCCCAGCTGGAGGCCACCTCATTATTAGAAATGCTCACAACTAAAAAAAAAAAAATACAGAGAACAAAACACATATATCCTGGTTATGCTTTCGCTGACTCTCAAGGTTAGATTTAGTCCCATGAACATAGAAAGTAAGAAAATTGACTGACTAATAGTACAACAAAATCTGGCTCTATTTCTGCAATCAGTACTAGGCGGGTACCAGGGCTCAGCTATGGTTGTACCAGTGGGAGTCCACGGAGGCAGAGCTGTACATCCATCTGCTATCAGTTGCAGCTCTGGGGCTTGTAAATATGCTTTTTTGTGTATGAAAAAGCATAATTCTCATTCCTTCTGGAAAAGAGGCAGTAGTATTACCCCACAGCACTAAACTAAGCCCTACCCAAAGGCAAGAGGAAACCCAGAACCTGTGCATTACCTTCATAGGAGCCAGCTGGATAGGAGTGATACATGAAGGGTCCACCATAGGCTTCGGCCTGTTTGCCGTGTCTGCAAGCAAACTGTGCCACTGCTGAGGTAGACCAGTGAACTTCTGTTCTCTGTGATCAAATCCAGTGTGAACCCGGTGCTCAAAGTTAGAGGGTCCAGAAATTTCAAGCCTTTTCTTTTTCTTCCCAAACATGGTGGAAAAACCTGGAGAAGTGGTGGGGGGGAAAAAAGAGAAGAAAAATAAATATATCTTAATAACAGGGCTAGACACAGACATGGGTAAACCAGGCCCCCGCCCAGGGCCCATATAGAAAGGGGGCCCGAAAATGGTAATTTTTATCATTATTATTATTATCATTACCTATGGTGAAGGGGGACCTGATACTAAAAGTTCACCTGGGGCCGCCAAGAGTCCAGGTATGGTACTATTTGACACAAGCTCTTTTCTTTAATTGTTAGGTTCTGACTGCAGTATATAAAGTAATGTTCATTGATTTGGAGTTTTCAATCCAGCTTTACTTGCTTCAATGGGCACATCTACACATTCATTAATGTATTGTAGTTACTGTGCATTGATTTAGTACTTGATTAACCAAGCACTAAAAACTTAATGAGCAGTAACATGTACTACTGCACAGTAATGTTGGTGCATGGTTATTTACTGACACTTACTGCGCAGTAGCCTAATACTACTGTGCGGTAGTGTATTAGCATGGTTTTTGCTCAGCACGCTACTGCGCACTGTTATTAGCCTGCTGTACAGTTAGCATTTTGTGTAGACGTGCCCACTGAGTAGTAACTTACTCCTCCCATCATCCCACTGGGGTCTTTTTTACCCACACTTGGTGGGTGCAGTTTGCTATTCCTGCACTACTGGCTAACATGGGGGGACAAGAACTATGGGTCTTCCTTCCCCACTCTGGGAAGCTGTGCACCTACAGAAGCAGTCTTGGTGCTTTTCCCAGCACAGTGACTCATATCATGCCTGGCCCTCACACATACTGTGCAAGAGAAGAGATGGCTGGACCTCTATATCCTCCCCAGTGCACCTGCAAGGAGACAAGTAAGGGTGCTAGGGTTGTCTCCCCTCAAAAGTCACTCATGCAAATCTGGTTTGATCTAATCAGATGTTGCAGCTGACAATTCCAGGGGATACTGCTTAGAGAAGAGCTCCACTGGGCCATCAAGAATACTTCCTAAATAGTGACAAGACTCAATTCAGTAATCTCAGACCTGCCCCACTGACCTCAATGGCCATATGTCTACATAAGTGGTGGACTGAGCAGTTATTACTGTGTAGTCATTTAGTACTTGCATAAGCAAGTACAGTGTTACTGTGCAGTGGGGTCCCTGCACAATTTTCTTCTGATGCTACTGCGCAGTAGCAACGAGCTACTGTGCAGTAGCATTGCATCACAGTTAGTGCCCCCCAACACTACTGTGTAGTGGTGTCTCATGTAGGAGTGGCCAATTTAGTCCTGCATATCCCTGGTAATGTGACTTTACAGTCACCCTAGGCAACCTTTTCCATACTTTGCTCCTATAGTGACTCATGATACTAAACAATATTGTTTTGTTTCTACAGCTTAATCAACAAGAGGCTGGCTAATCCTTAGCATTAAGTTGCCCCTGGCTTTTAGCTGGTGGTACAAAAGAGCGTGAGTTTGGTGTTCCTACCGAGGTTGTGAAGAGAAAGCAGGGGAAAGAGTGGGCAGAGCTGGCTGGAAGGTAGGAGGAAAGGTGCATGGGATGAAAGACGGATAAACTGTAATTGAAGGGAATTGAGTTATGTATGCTTTATGCCAGAGCAAGGGAGGTGCACAGAAGGAAGTATGCAGTGTCTGAATCATAATACCCATTTGGACTAGGCCAGGGGAAGGGCAGCTCCCACTCTGGGTCACGGACTCTGCCCTCATTCTGAGTAGAGGGCGGGCAATTATTTTGGGCAGAGGACTGTTTACTGAATTTTGGCAAGCCATCGAGGGCTGCATGACAAGCAGCCCAGAGCAGATAAATATTAATTTTTAAAAATTTTTAGGGGCCCCGCAGGCCGGATAGAATGGCCTGGTGGGCTGCATCTGGCCCCTGGGCTGCATTTTGCCCACCCCTGGAGGGATGTGGGCAGTGGGGT